TGAGATCGAAAAACGAATCTCTTCTTCATGTACTTACATTCGAAATGAAGGTCCCCCTAACAATGTTATCCCATAATAGAAGCCGTGGAGATTATGAACTCAGGACAAAACCCGAGGCGACCATACCCGAGGCCACAACATCTTGGTCTTCACATCTTCAGGACAATAGTGTTTCTCTCTGTTCCCTTGGCAATGCAACCAATGGTGAAGACAAGGTCAAACAATGTATATACGACGAAAGGAAACTGCGACCATACAAAAAGTTACGCCATCTTGTCCTTCATAGGGTACTATTACTGTTACCTCAAAGCATTTGTGAAGGTGTGGTGAAATTAAACAGCCTAAATGTAAGTTGTATTATCATCAGCATCAGTTATATTGTGGCAGTTGAGCCATTCTCTAGTTAACTCTATTCTTGTTTGATCATGAATATAAAAGTATGTCACCAAAAATCACTTTAGGCAACTGGAGGACAGAAATTTGAAGCTCCCCATATTGAATTGGGATTTGAAGATTTCACGATTTCAGTGGATTTCAATTAGTCTTATAGCAGTGGGTTGACCTCTGTCGCAAATTGGTCTTGTAGAACGTACCTAGTCCGAAGTCGTCTGCCGTAGAAGTTGTCATAATTCCCAGCATCAGACGGTGGACTTGGTACATTCTCAGACGTTTCGCCGGCATCATCAGTCAGTTTTGCCATTGGCCGCACCAAGCTACGAACTCGTCAAAGAGACAAGTGAAGCACTTCGAGAATGTACCAAGTCCACTGTCTGATGGTGGGAATCACGACAACTCATATGACAGACGACTTCGAACTAGGTACGTTCTACTAAGTCGCCCTGACAACAAGACCAAGTTGCGACAACGAGGTCAACCCAATTCGATAAATCGAAAGGAGACTGCCCCATCTTGGACTTCCTATCTTCAATTAGTCTTGCCTACCAAAGGGCCTTTTAATCTGGTTTGACATGACTTGAATGTGCAGTTCAGTTTGGATGAAACAACACTTCTGGAAGCACCGCCAAATGGAGCTTAACAATATTGTGACTCCTCAAGTTAATCTAAATGCGCGAAACTTAACTTTCCAGTTCAAGCTGTTCGTGAAGATGTGATGCATACCTGCTTTTGTCAGTGACCTATGACCTTGAGGAAGTCTCACATACATCCGTTCATCCAAACTATAATCCCAATATTTGGTAGCTAAAGCAACTATGACCAATCTCAAAATGATCGCATTTATACTTTTTTTCTCTCAAATTTTTAGCCAACTTGAACACAGTCTTCTCTGTTTTCTCGTTCTTCTTATCCGAAAAGGATTGCAGCCCCGGTCTGTCTATGCTCTGCCGACGCAGACGCTAAGGCCAGCTTCCGGCCGTTCCACCAGACACAGTCCACGAGTTCCATACTTCAATGCAGGCACCTTGGCACCTGCGAAAATGGGCAATTTGTGGATCTAATGTCTCATTCTCATTTTACTCTTGGCATTGTTGCGAAATAGGGCATAGCTGCATCCGTTTGATGTGTAGACACGTAGAACCAGTCAAAATAGTGAAATTTATCTGCCTAACTGATACAACTGAAGGTTGGGTTATGTGGAGAGATGAGATAAAGTACAGATTGGCGTATAGATCTAAAGCAAAGGAGAGAAGTACACATATTTGCTATTTGCCATTTGCTTAAGCTTTCCGGTGAAGTTGATAAATATCACAGCTTTAATGGGATGCTTGCATCTTTACTTTGAACGGCTATACTTTCGTAAACTTGTTTTATGTGGAAAAAAGACAATATTCATTGTCTCTACATTTCAAGCGTATACCAAAAAGATGTATAAACCCATTTCATCACCTTGCTTCTGCCAATCTGGGGCTCTTGCTCAATTCGGAAACGCGGCCCAATTCATACTTTGCAATTTGAAGAAAAGCAGACGAATTCGAAGTATATGAAGAAAAGTTGGGTTTCGAGGAATCTCTTGTTTCATAGTTGTTGGGATTACTTCCATTTCG